AGTTAAGATTCCAGAAACCCAATAAAAGAACAAAATTCTACAAGCAGTTAGAGAAAAGAAACAAATCACCTACAACAGAAAGCCCATCAGAATCATAGCAGACATCTCAACACAAACCCACAAGGCAAGAAGAGTGTGGAGTGAAAGAAAAACAGCCTCCAACCCATATTGTTGTACCCTGCAAAACTGTCTTTCAAAATTGATGGAGAAATAAGGTACTTTCATGACAAAGAGACCTTAGGAACTTCACAAATACTAAACCAGCACTCCAAAAAATTTTAAACAATATTCTAGGAAAAGACAACAAGGATCACAACCCCAGGAAGCCCTGCAGAATGAATCCATTGGGCACGACAAGAAATTAAACGCAAAGGGGAGAAGCCAACAAAAAGAGAAAGTCATGACAATGTTAAGTCAATACATATCAATTATGACCATCAATGTTAGTGGTCTCAATTCACCAATCAAAAGAAATAGACTGGCAGAGTGGGTCAAGAAGCAAGATCCAACAATATGCTGCGTACAAGAAACACAATTCCAAAATAACTCAGACTGAAAGTTAAAGGGTGGAAAACAATACTCCATGTGATGGGAACCCGAAGAAAAGCAGGAGTAGCTGTCCTCTTTGCAAATCAAGTGGATTTCAAACCAACACTGATTAAGAGAGACAAAGAAGGAGACTACATCCTTGTGAAGGGAACAATCCAAGAGGAAGAGATGACAATCATAAACATATATGCACCAAACACTAGTGCACCCAACTATATGAAACAAATACTAACAAAAAAATCATATAAGCACTAATAGAATAGTAGTGGGGGACCTTAATACCCCACTTGACACAAATAGATAGATCAACTACACAAAAAATAAACAACGAAATACTAGAACTCAATCAAACTATTGAACAAATGAACTTAGCAGATGTTTACAGAGTGTTCCACCCCACAAAATCAGAATAAACATTCTTTTCAGCTGCACATGGGTCATTCTCTGAAATAAACCACATACTCACTCATAGAATATGTTTAAGTAAGTGCAAAGTAATTGAAGTTATCCCCTGTGTATTGTCAGACCATACTGTGATGAAATTGGAGATCAATAGCAAAAGAAACCATAAACACATGGAGAAATGGCCTGTGGAACGATGTGGTGGAGAAAAACTGATCAACTCGTGGCATCTACAAAGAGAGCAAAGGAAAAGCCTGAGAGGAAGGGGCCAGGGTCACACCCCTCTGACCCACCCAGACACATTCAGACATGTGCTTTACTAATCTCCTAGGCTGCTCTCAAGCCAATCAAGTTGACAGTCAAGATTAACCGTGACTTATGTAAGGAGGAGAACTAGTGAATAGGTTAAGGATGGAGCCTTAACCACTACAGTGATGGCTGATGCAAAGGGGAAACCCTGAGAGAGGGAGAGAAAAAGGTGATGCAGGAGAATGCATTGGCCCAGAAGCAAAAGAACAGGGAGAGTTCCCATATATGCATATCCAGCTTATAAATACTTACTTTGGATTTTGAAATTAAATCTTTTTTTTTCAAAGCCGACTTACTTTGAAGTTATTCTAGTGTTAAAAATTATTTTAACAGTTGTGTAAGATTAAATGTTGATCGATCCCCGGTACCAAAAAAAAAGAAAATTTGAGAGGAATCAAGGTAAAACCAAACAAATACCAGCCAAATAAAATATGTCCCAGAGGCACATGGAGAAATTTTAGGATGGTGTCATGTTTTGGAATTTAGCACAAAGTTCTTTTAGAATTCTTTTTACTACATCATTAGCTAAATATATGAATTTTAGTATGTTATACATAGTAGTTAAGCAACAGGATAATTATATCACCAAAAGTTGTTTACTCTGTGAATTTGTTTAATACATTATCTCATCAGTGGCCAGCCCTAGGATATGTTAAGTGATTAATTTAAGTTTTATTTCTAGACATGTTTTGTGAAACTTTATTTTGCCTAAAGCAGGCACATAGCTCAGCTGTTTAAAAAAATGAAAAAGACATACACTCAAAAATAGGCATTGGTTTCTTACTACTTTATGGCTTTGAATATCATTCTGAATCCTCTTACCTCTCTGTGTTTACTACACCAGCAACCCGTAGGATTTAACATTAAATTTTCATTTTGATTAACTTCACTGCAGTTGTTTCTTGGCTCCCTCTTTAGAGCCCACTGTGGAATAAAATTAAAACAGTTTTTATGATATAACAATTTAGTGGTAGAAAATGACATTTTTCTTTTTTCCCTGACTGGCAGTGTATTCTACCCCCTGAATTTCTTCCATATGCCTCATGGCTCTGGTTTTTCCCTGCTCCCATCCATCTTTTATAATACTGCCAGATTAATTTTCCTAAAACAGAGTTTTGGTCATTCTGTTATCCCTCCATGGCTCCCCGTTGCCTCCCTCTTGTCTAAGTCCCAGTCATTCATCAGGGAGGGAATAACCCAAATGCTTTTATTTTCCTATAACATTTTTCTTATGTTCTCTGCTATGAAGTCCCTGTCTGCATGCTAGATTTCTTGTCCTTCTTGCACAGCATGGGTCATGCCCTGCCATACGTAAAACTACGTATGACCGTGGACTTGAATGCAAGAACTAAATCTCCTTTATGTTTTGGCCCATTCTCCCATCGCCTATTCATAAATGATACTCAATAAATGTTTGTGGGATCAGTGAATAATAAATAGAAATATACAGACGCCCTTCTTCTCATACATTCGTGATCCTCTTACCTTTTACTTTTTCTTTTCCCCCAGCACCTCTCACCTTCCAATTAATTCATAATACAATTACTCACTTTTGTGGTTGGCATTGGCTGTCTCCTCCCTGTTGGATGCCAAGTGCTTTGTTTGTTCTTTGGAGTGTCCCTAGTGCTCAGATCCCTGCTTGTGATACTGGTTGAGTGAATGAGTGATACTTGAAGGTGAAGGTCAGCTTCTCCCTGTTTCTGGGGTTTTTGTCTGTCACTGTTTTTTAAAAGTAAAGGACAGTGTGATAGGAAGATCAGGGAGACATATAGGGAGACCCTGAAGTCACTTTCTGTCACCCTGAACAAGTTTTGTAACTGCTTTGAAGGTCATTTCCAAACCTGTTAAAGGATAACATGACTTGATTCACAAATGTGTGTATAAGAATTAAGTTTTAGGGAAAATGCATACAATAGAGTTAACAGCTGATGGTCCTGATCACTCTTAAGACGCCAGACTTGGTGCTACGCATTTTCTTCTCCTTATCACTGTATTTCCATAACCATTCTGTGAAGCAGAGAGACTGGTTACTCCATTCTACAGGGGAAAAGAAAGGTCCTGTCCAAGACCACACAGTGCTGGATGGCATAACACCCACTCTCTAGCCCTGGTGCTTATAACTCCTCTGCCTGCAGTGCATGCTCCTCCTGGTGGGGGTCCTCAGCAGAGGGCTGTTTGATTTCTCTCTTGGAGAAGGAGTTCTAGACCTTTCTTTCCGGACCTAACATGCTTGAGGGATACCATGGGCTCCTAAGTACCAGTAGGCCCCAGTAGAGGTCATTATATAAAAACTGGAAGGCTAGGGATTCTGCTTGGAAACTTCCCCCTTCTGAATTAGATCCCTTGAGCTAGGAATTTAGCTCAGTGGTTTCACCGCCTGCTGTGCAAGCTCAAGGACCCAAGTTCGATGCCCAGTACCAAATAAATAAATAAATAAATAAGATCCCCCCCCCCCCGCTATTACTGTGCTTCTATCTCCAGGTCAGTTTGTCATTCCACTCCCACCCCCCCCACCCCCATGACAAAATAAAGCTTTTAATTCTTTGTATTTTCCACCACAAAGATAAAATATTCTTGCATTAAGACTTTTAAAGCTCATTGCGTTATTGGTTTGGAAACAAACTGGATGGTTTATGGCTGGGATACCCAAGTTGATCATTACTACTTCTTTATTGATTAAAAAAGGCCTGAATCTTTTAATTTCAGAGAGATTTATAACACCATTTCAAAACACAGTTATGTAACTAGTAATTCTTAATTATTATAATAAAGTTAGAATCAAAAATAAGGAAGGCTGTTTTCTGTGTAAAGGAATTAGCCTTTTCAGATATTTTTATTGAGTGTTTAAAATGGCTAACCCAGAATTAATGGGATGGATTACATCAGCATCTGAAAAACATCATCTATGTTTCAGGGAATGGATTTGTCTTTTGAAATAATTTGTCATCAGTTCAAAGACTAAAAAGGTATTTTACAAAATATTAAAATGAAAAATAATTTTATTTCTATGCTATAAAGTTTCATTATGCTTAATTGATTGGGAGGTTTGGTAGGCCAGAGAACTGGCAAACATAAATTGAAAAGCAAATATAGGCATTTAATATCAAGTACTCTTTCAACAGAGACATAAGTATACTATCAATTTTTTATAGCTTTATTATAGTGATTAAGAGTATAAACTTTGGAAGCAGTCTGGCCTAGGTTTGAATTCCCATCTGTGAATTTACATATGTTACCTAACATTCTGAACCTTTATTTTTCTCACTTGTAAAGAAGGAGCAATATTTATTTCATAAAGTTATCTTATTACATGAAATAATATTTTCAATGCATCTAAACTATTCCTAATGTAGTATAGGAACTACTAAAATGTTATAATTGAAATATAATAATTTATGTATAATGAAGTGTTTGAATATTGCTTTACCAAATAAGTAGGAAACATTTTTATAGAACTCTGTACAGACACTCCTATTTATTGAGAGTTGGTCGCTAAATGAGGAATTGTATTTAGTATGTACCTTACAGTGTTCACATCAAAGACATTTAGGTCAAAGGAAGGTAGGTTGTTCAACAAGGAAACCTGTATACAGCTCTCAGCTTGATAGGGAATGCTTCTGTTTTTTCACCAATTCAAAAGTGAACTTTATTTATCTCTGGATAAACTGTCAACTTCTACACTAGTGAAATTTTAAGAAAATAGGAATTCTAAATTTCACAAATAAAATTGTATTTTCCAGGAGAATGCATAGAAGGACTGCGGGAGAATGATTACCTTCTGATTCATTCATGTCGTCAGTGGACCACCATCACTGCCCATAGTCTGGAAGAGGGCCACTATGTCATTGGGCCAAAGATAGAGATCCCTGTTCATTATGCAGGTAAGATTCTCTTCACTGGCAAGATGCAGCAGAGAGAGGAAGGGTACTTGAAGAGTTGTCATTTTCCTTCCTGGAGGGAAAACAGGAATTGTCTATAAACTAGACCAGTAGTGACAAACCAATGGCACACATGCCACAGTGGGCTCTTTGTATGATTGAAAGCTCTAATAGTTTCACCATCACTGAACTAGACAGTGTAGTAGTTTAGAAAGGGAAGAATCAGACACTTTTGTGTGGTTATTATATTTATCAATGAAAACTTGGGTTTATTTTGTCATAGATGTTTCTAATTAATGCAGCTAGATATTTATAAAATGCAAGTTTACAAAGACAGAGAATTTCTGTGTAGTCTTAGAATTAAAATCAATACATGTAGCCAACTTCTGAGCTTCACGTCCACATGCCCTGAGTAACCTTGTATACATCTTCATCGTTGCTTTGTGAATGACTATAGTGTAATGATTTCAGCAGGTATTGTTGCACAAGCAGGCATTGTGATTTGGTTTTAGAAGTATTGGCTTGGAAGTTCAGAGCCATAGGCTTGTAGAACATGTTCCTTTTTCACATAGGCTTGTGGAACACAGCTCTGAGATGACCTCACTGCTTTAGTTAAGTGAAGATAACTTCCTTCTCACCTCAACAATGCCATTTGAACAGTTTGCATGGAGCACATTCGGTGGCCGGCACTGAATGTAGGATGTACTGTGTTTAGCAGATTGAATAAACTTTCAGTAGTGGTAGCTTACAAATACACAATTTTTTTAAAAACTTGTTACCCTACTTTCTTCTGGTGCTTGTTCATATATAAATTATATAAAAGATCTTAACTTTTTCTTTTATTGTTTGATTTTCTAAAAGCCTGTATACCAAGGTATTTTAACCAATGAACCGTATAGCTCTAGACTGCCATGTTGTATTTGACCCCTCTGTACTGCTCACCAAGCTGTCCATTCAAATAGGGCCTACTGTACTGCCATGTTCCGGAGCAGTAGCATATGGTATTTGTTCAATAAATGTTTATTGAATGAATGACTACTTTGGTATTCTTTCTGCTTCCTGGGAGTCTTTAATTCCTGACCTGACCCTGGATCACCTTCTCAGAAATCTAATAAAAAGAATTTCTCTAACCTAAAACTTTGTCTTCTAGCATTACATTTCCTAGCACTTTGAGTAGCCTTCATGGAAAACAAGAAACACTAGCTGCAGAAGGGTTTGTGTTTGTGGGGTTAGGAACCAGCCAAGTGGGCCAGTTCTCATAGGGGTAGAGGACATGACAGACCTCAGTGGTGGAGAACATGACAGGCTCTCCTCTGTCCAGGTGAGAGCTGCATTACTTTTAACCATCTCAGACTCTTGATTCTGCCTTTGTGGAAAACTGAAAAGACAGATAAATTGCAACATTGCTTCATCACATAAACAATTTTACCTAATCTGCTATTTTTCTATTAATAGAATGAGTTTTAGTCTTTCCCCCTCCTAAAGCCATTGTGAGTAACTCTGCAAAATCAGTCTTCCCAAAGGAAAATTTTTGTTTTATCATTTCCTCAAATCTCTTTACAGACCTCATACTGCCACTGGATTCTTTGTCTTTTTGTTTAGGGCCTCAAAGAGTTCTAACCTGCTTCTCCAACCTTTTCTACTCTGAGGAGGGAATCTTCCAGTCCAGCTGGATTAGTCACCTCACTGTTTCCTAAATATTTTGGCCACTTTTCTGTTAATACCATTGCCCCTCTGGAGTAGCCTTCCTCAGCCATGCTGCTTCTCAGAGTCTGTAGTTGGATCAGGAGGGTGCAAAGGTCCACTGCTGCCATGGTAGAGAATGCTGGGGTGGTCTCCTGTTGTTGTGTCACATTTATTTGACACACATTGTTACATTTTATTCAGTTACCTCTTCTGTGCATACCTCCCATCCTTGAACAGTTGGACTATACACTTGTTAACAAATTAGGGCAATTCTGGTGGTTTTTTTTTTGGTACAAGGGATTGAACTCAGAACCTTACACTTTCAAGGCAGGTGGCAGAACCACTGAGCTAAATCCCTGGCCCAATTAGGCCAATTCTGAAAAATACTGTGCATCCTTTGTATAAACAATATACTTCTTTATGTGTATGGATACTCGATATAGGGACCTCCAACGTGGCTGTGCATTGGAGTTTTAACAAGTTGATTGCTGGGTCCTGTCTCTAGAAGTTCTGGTTTAATTGGTCTGAAGTGTGGAGGGTGGGCATAAAGAGTTTTAAGTCTTACTCATGGTTAAAAATGTAACCAAGATTGGGTATGGGTAGTAAGACAAATATTTGCAAATGTGTTAGTATTTTGAGCACTTGTTCCTGTATTACTAGCCAACCAGCTTCCACTGGAAAGAAAGATAAGTCATTTTGCAAAGCTTAGTCTTTATTTGAAAGGAAGTTGATGGAATACATAACTGGGAAACCAGGTATCATGTTGCAAATGGTACATACCATATTATTTTTGAATAAAATTGATGTGCCAAGATGAAAATGAAATACAGACACTAGGGGCAGTGAAGCTCAGCTGGTCCCAGCACCCAGAAGGAAGTTCCCCCACTGCCATCTCAAGCTCCTAGGGCAGAGAAGGTGAGCCACATGGGCACCAGCAGCACCCCCTGCCCCCCTGTGGAAATGAGACGACACATAAACAAGCCTCAAAAACAGACTTCTAGATCACCTACAGCAACCCCAAAGGGAAACGAGATGGAACACTCTGATACTCAAACACCTGGGGTCTCTGAACTGGCAACAAAAGAGGATCTGGGAAAAATGAAATCAGAAATAATTACTCAGATAACAGCAAAGATTTTGCTCATGGTGCAAAACA